TGTCCCTGTTGAGACACTTCGTCCTCCACGCTCCAAGATCTCTCCAGTTCGTCCTCGCTCCAGCTGGACACTTCTTCCGGCATCACTGACGGCTTGGGAGCACTCTTGGCCTTGGGCTTCAGCATCAGGTTCGTGGTCTGATTCTTCGGGGATTTCACTGAGTCTCCCTCTTGTGTCAACTCCAGTCGCTCGACGTAGAGGTTGATGAAGTAAAGAAACGCTTGGTGAGATCTTTTCTGACTGTCTCCGTACTTCTTGGTGAACCACTTGACATACTTTGGGTCCTGTTCGATCACCTCGATGAACTTCTGGTTCAGCTTCGCTTCTCCGAAGGAGATGCGCATCTGGGAGAGCTCCTCATAGGAGTGTTGCATGAACTCCTCGTTCACCTTGGTCTCGGTGACTGCTGCAAAGCGATCGGCAAGACTCTTGGAGGCCATGATCAGTCGGCACAGGCTGTTGCTGCGAGCACTGATCGGATGCTACAGGCAAACTTGACACTACCGGCTGGTGTGCGGACGGAAGTTTAACTTCCAAGGTATGGTCCTCTGTGGAAAGGACATCTGCATTCACGGCTGTCATAATTGGTTTGGCAGAATCTGGAGTGTTCGGCACCTGAGACCTACCTTCGAACGACTTCTTGACCAAATCACAAAAGTCCAGCAGATAGAGTTTCTTTTCCGACAACGTCAGATCCATGGAGAATCCAAGCTCAGCAAAGTGCACGACGTCCTGTGCTGTGTCAATCTGTGCTCCAAGAGTTCTGAAAACGTTGTTGGACAAAAGAAACGGTGTTTGAGAGTTCACTACACAAACTTTGACCATCCATTTTCCCAGTGGAATCATAAGAGCAAACTGACAATTGACGGTGCTGCTGTTGCCAAATCGAAACATGGTCTGGCACGGTACTCTTTGGACTCGGCTCTGAATAGACATGGGAAGGTGTGACAACAACGATTCAACCTGTTGACTGCCAATCACAGTTTGACTTGCGCCCAAATCCATGATACCGTAAGGGCCATGACTCACAAACATCGCTACATCTGTGGCAGGCGACAAATGACCTGTCAGGCACGGCTCAGAATGGCTTTCAGGTTGAGGGCTTAGGCGTCGCTTCATGGAACTCAGGAACCTGGAAAGGCATTGGGAGGTCATTTTTCTCTCATTCTTGGAGTGATCAGCAAAACTCATGAAGCAAAATTCCCGATCCTTTGAGAAAACTGATTTAGAACAAGGCACTTCATTCAAACAGGATTCCACTACGATCATGTCTTGGTCATCAGGCTCATCGGAAACGGCAGTGACTGTCCCTGCAAAGGCACTGTTGGAGGTGCCAGTGGTCGACGCAGCAGCGGCAGTACCCTTATTGAGAGGGCACTCAGCCTTCCAGTGTCCCTTCATGCCGCATCTTCGGCACTCTGACTCAAGAATGCGCTGGGCCAATGGTTTGCGACCCTTGAACATGTTCTTGGACTTCCCTTTTCCTTTACCCTTCTGAGGATAGGAACTTCCTTTGGAATTCCAAAAGCCCCTGTTCTTCCCCTTGTCAGCTAAACGTTTTCGGGCACCCAAGTACGTGTTGTAACAAGCTGCAATCTCTGAATCACATTGGAGGGCTTCTACCAAACTTTCTTCAAACTGCATGCACGCCACTGCATCGGGGTCTGACTCATCATAGGAAATTTCATGGTCCTCCCAAGTCTCTCCCATGAAAACGGTTTCATCCTCTGCGTTTGGCGGAAAAGGCTCCTCATCAAAAACTGCATTCACGTCATAGGTCTTGTTGCGGCCCACTGATCTGTTTCCCGTTTGGAGTTCATGGAAAAATTTGGACCCCAGCAGTTTCAAGGCTGACACTATGGACTTGTATTCCAATTCACCCTTGGCATCTACTATGATCTTCTTCTTATCCTCGGAACCCAAACCAGAATTTCGGAGTAGTATGTAGGCCCGCACTTCATTGAATCCTACACCCATTTGTAAGAGTTCTTCAAACTGATAATCATGCCTTGCCAAATAGCTCTCGTGAGACTCATCTTGGCGCTGAACTGTAGAAAAAATTGCTCGCTCAAAACGTTCGAACTTGTCCTCCAGGTTGCTCTTTCCCCAGATACCCCCCAAAGTATTGATAAGCAACTTCACTCCGTCCAGACTATTGACTTTCAGCTTGGCAGGATCTAGCCTCATGACCCGTTTGAAAGATGAACCCTCACACAGCATCGCAGCCCGCGGGGCCAAGTGGCTGAGATGTTCTGGAGGCCACAAACCTGCAAGGAACTCAATCTTTTTGGTGTACTCGTTGATCTCGGTCTCCCCCGGCTTAAACGCCGGAATCATGTTCCAGGGCAAATGGGACAAAGAAGGTCCGCTAGGGACAGATGACTGAGCCATCTCCTCAGTTCCACTCATCCTGGATCTCAAGGCTTCCAAAAGTGTGGCCACACACCTTTGGCCTGGGTAGCTCCGCTACCAGTGTTGGACCAATCCCAAACACTGGTAGGGGCTCCTGAATTCCAATCAACCTCAAAAGCAAAGGGGACCCCTGGTCCTATCTCCAAATGAACAACGCACCACCCGGAGTGCTATGGCGACCGCGCCCTTTTGGCACCACTGCAAAGGTGCAAGTCGAGGGGCACCCTAAGCCCTCAACACATCCTGAGCCACAGGACCTTGAGATATTCACGGTACAGACACCCACATGGAGGCCAGTTGATACAACTCATTGTAAAGCTTCCGCAACTGCACCAAGTTGGAATGCAAAGAGTTGACAAATCACAATATACGTATATATATATATATATGTTGTATATATATATATACACATTATATGTTTATACGTTATATAATTAATAACAATAATATTAATAATATTGATAAAACTTAATAATAACATAGTAATAATACTAATAATATTCATATATATATATATATATTTATACACGTCATATAATATAATAATGATATATTTGTTTGTCATCATTGAATTCGAATCGAGTGATTCTGTTGGAGAACGCTGCATATTCGAGACAATCCCATGTTCCTCTCTGGACAATCCTTGGCCGTGTTGCTCAAAGGCAAGCCCAGCAACGAAAAGAGTGCATAGTGACGACCTTCCAGCAGACGGCGCCATTTGTAGCGAATTTGCAGCTCTAGGTCTCAGGAATCTCTCAGGAATTTTGGGCGAAGTCGCACGCCAAGCCGCACAAACGGTGCGCGTTGTACCATGGGGCAGTATAGATCCCCATTAATTGCAAGGATCATCAGTGATCACGGTGATCTGAACGCCAGCTGCTGTTTTTGGAGCCCTGCATGAAAAAAAAATCGAAAAACGGCTTCTGGCGTTCTTCGATGGCAAGTCCCACTGATTCCATTGGTTCGAAGCTGTGTGATGAGCACTGCTGATCACTGCTGGATGTTGTTTGAAACATGTCATATTGGGGGGAATTGGGAATAACATTCTCCTGTGTACTGTGTGCCAGTTGAAGATTTGCCAAGTTGTCCACGAGGAGCGACAGGAACGCTTACAAACTAAGCCTCCTAAATCCTTTTTTTTCATATTTTTTCGTCATGTGTCATGTGTCAATGCAGACCAGAAGACTTGTTTTCTCCAAAGTGCATGGAACCACAATCGGCTGCACAGGCAACATGAGAGCTTTGCACTTCAGCCCGTACTGTAGCTTTCAAAGAAGACCCCCCAAAATTCACCATGAGACCGAAACATGGCACTTGTTCCCCACCTGCCAGGTGAGTGTCTCTAGACTCTAGATTTTAACAAAGGTACAACTCCTCCTTCCTCTTCTCCTCGTTCTCCTCCTTCCTCCTCGTCCACCTTCTCCGCCTCTTGCTTCTGCCAGCTCCGGATGTTGTGGAGCGCACCTGGACCCGAACACCATGTCGCCAGCCCAGGAGACTGTGGAATGCGCCTGGGCCCGAACACATGTCAGATAGAATGCCAGAGAATGCCAGATAGAATGCCAAACAGAACTTCAGAATATATGTCAGATATAGAACGCCAGATAGAATGCCGAATAGAATGTCAGATAGAATGCCAGATAGAATGCTAGAGTGAATGCCTGAAAAGATGGCTCGGATTGATGCCAGAATAGATTCCAGAAAGAATGTCAGAATAGATGCCAGATAGAATGCCAGAAAGAATGCCAGATAGAATGCCAGAAAGAATGCCAGATAGAATGCCAGAAAGAATGTAAGATAGAATGCCAGAATACATTATAATATACAGTTATACCATATATACTTCCAGCGTGGGGATCACTCAAAGTAAAGTAATGTTTGATCATTTTTGGTAGTTTGATAAGGCTTTCCATACTTCGTATTAAAGAGGTCTAGGCAGCGCCAAGCCAACGGGTGTTCCATAGTGCGCCTAAGCCAGGAGTGAGCCGCTTGTTGATGCAATTCTTCTGGCAGCAACGAGCCAACCTCAGACTGACTAGGTGACACGGTGACACGTCGAAATTCCTGGAAGTGGATTGACTATGACTAGGTGAAGACAAGTAGTGTATAACTGTATACTATTGTATACTATACTGTATAACTATCATCCCAATTGGAGGTTCAAACCGTTTAATTTACGACATTATCAACATTTAAGACATTTATCTACAATCTGTATGATATTGCTGCCAAAAGATGATGGCATTGACGAGTGGCTCCAAGGAGTCGTCAAGTCTCATGTTATGTGGGCGTTATAGTCCCTTTGTTTTCAGGCATTGGCATGGCTTTCAGACCAGATTTCCAGAACGTATGGGAACTTGATGACAGACCAGATTTTTGCATTATATTTGTGATAACTGTACGAAACATCCGACAGTTTTCACACCTAGGTTTCGCCTGGGACTAAGCCGAAAAGCCGGAAAAAAAACATGTGGTCAATTTCTTGGCATTTCTTTGGACTAAGTTGGACTTCTGTCCTGTGCTTTTGACTCAATCCATCTCAATCCCGCAGCCTAGCCGCCTAGCCGCACACCGAAGACCGGAGCCTGATGGAGGCTGAAGGCCATGCCTTTGAGGCAGCTGAGAAGGTGAAGGAGATCCAATGTGAGGTGAGCATCAGTTGACCCTGATCAATTGGCCATAGGGCATTATCAACATTTATCAACCTACTGTAAGTAACCTACATATCATTATTGAGTTGGTATATACATATACATACATATACATACATATACATACATATACATACATATACATACATATACATACATATACATACATATACATACATATACATACATATACCATAATCTAACGGAAATTATCATAATCCATGGGAATCCACCTCCAACCAACGAGAATCCGCAGCCACAGGTGGAAGACCTCCTGCTTCACATCCGCCGTGCCGCGGACATCGAATCCCAGCATCTTGAAGCGCAACGAGTGGAGCTCCAGAAGCAACATGCGGAGAGGATCAAGGACCTGCAAGACGAGGTGGGGATGGGTCATGATGGGTCAAAACCTAAGCCCAGAATGGGATTGAATATGATTGAAGGGGATTCACATGTGATAACACCAACAAACATGCTCGTTTTATGGTGGATGAATGGGTTAAAACCTATAAGATACTTTTTTTTGGTGCGTGGGGGAGGTGATTATTGAAGATCCATTTGTATCCATTTGCTATTTATTATAGATATATGTTTGATGTTTACTGAGGTGAGACGGGTCAGGGAATCGACTGATGAGAGTGTCGAGAAGATTGAAGCAGAGATGCAACGAGAGCAATCTCAGATTGAAGAAGAGGTGCTGCAAAAGTCGGTCGAACGGAGTGAGGCCTTGAAAGCCATCAAGGAGGAAGTGGAGGATTTGTCAGCTGTGGCGGATCAAGAATACCGAAAGTCCTTGGACAAAGACAAGTTGCGCCATGAAGAAGCTCGAAAGGCCATTCTTGACATGGACAATCAGCGATGGAGGACGGTGGAGGAGATGGACCAAAGCTGCCAAATGTGGATCACGGCATTCAATCAGAGGCCTGGCTGTAGATTCTCTGTAGATCAGGTGTGGTCAAGCAGATCCATATCAGAGGAGTGCAAAGTTTTGTTTGGGCTGCAGTGTTGCTGAAATCCCCAGGGCACAAGTGTATAGGGACCTAATCCTTAATATTCCCTAATTCCATCTCTCAGTCTCTCAGTTTCTTGCAGTGACAGGCTGGAAGAAACCCAAGCAGATTTGGCGTACCGAGTAGAACACTTGGTTGGAGAAGCAAGAGCTGCAAGGCTGGGTTTGCACAAGGCCCGCGAGCGGCTTGATGCTCGGATTTACAGAGACGATGTGGTCATGATGGTCGTTTTGGGGGTGTAATTAGTTGGAGGGCGCTTGCAGTCTTGCAGTGTGTTTTGCAACACTGTCCTTTTGTGTCCTTTTGTTACCTTTTGCCTTTTGCGCGTTTATATAATCCTTTGGCCTCCCGATGCCTCCTGTGAAGTTTGCATCCTGCAGGCAGCTACACAGACTGTACATGACTATACGAAGGTGTTGAATTTGGCCCGGCCACTCCTTAATTTCTCAGATCATATCAGCCTGACGTGTTTGCATTTTCCCCCCAAAGACACAAAAAAATTGCCCTGAACCATACCCCGCCCTCAGGATCGCCAATGGGAAGATGAACTCACTCAACTGCGGCAAGAAGCTCTAAAGGAGCGCTTTGACGCTGCAAGCACGTTGGACCAAGCTCGATTGAAGCGAAGAGAGCTGGAAAGCATGTCCAGGGAGAAAAGTGTCCGGGCTAAATTGAGCACACAGTTTTGCTGGCTTTAAACAATATGTTTGTTTTGGCATTGAAGTCGAGCACGATTTGCATACTTTGGATTACTTTGGTGTCCAGGTCTGGCCGGCATTGAAGAGTGCAAGCTGCTCAAACGTGAGCATTTATTGACCCTACGGAGGGTTGCGGATGAGTTGGATCAGATGCGGAGGAACATCGGATTGCAAGCTCGTGATCCCATGCTGGTGCAGAGTCTCAGGGAGCTCAGTTCAAAGATTCGACATGGCCAAATGAAGCAGCAACCACCCAAAATGATGGAAATAACGTGATCAATGACATGAATGACCTGAAATGACACTGTAATTACATGAAATGACCTGATCAATCCGGATGATCATCCATCAGTTTCTGCATGTTTATTTAGTTCTATAGTATAGTCGCAAGATGTTTCATAATGGTTCATAGTTCAGTACTCATTACATGAATGTTTGTCAATCTTTGGCCATCATCAAATCGTGCATACGGTGCAGCAGAAGCGTGGTGCAGCCAAAGTTTCTATGCTGCATCCCATGTTTTCGTTTCACAAGAGCTCCAAGTTGACCCAAGTTTGATCAGCTTGCTGCAAGCAAACTATGGTGGGTGCAAGCAGTCCGATTGGCAGAACTTGATAATGAGTACATGCCGTGGCATGTAATGGTTAAAGGTGTCTTCTCTTTTGATCACTGTTGGCCAGAGTATTGCAATTCCTGAATTCGTAGAACAATGTTTTCGTATTTATATATATATACATTTGTAACTTATTGTCACGTAGCCAAGGCCGAAGTGTTAGGATCATCGAAACCACAACCACTGTCAGCGACTTTTGCATTGCTACATTTGATCTACTGTGCTTTTTGCTCTCTCAGCCACCTTGATCCCGGCAGTTGTCTCTGCATAGGGTCAGCCACTGTGTTCCGAGGCCAAAACTCTCCACATTCCAGGCGCGAAGTTTGGCCAGCATGGCACAGGTCGGCTCCTGGGCGGATGGAGTGATGGGGCTCAGCATCGGGGACCGTGTGATCCGTGTGATCCGTGTGCACGCGAATGTCATCTTTGAGCACCAAAAGGTGTTGGAGAGTTCACCTGAGACGGATTGCTCAAAAAACCTCAATGCCTTCATTCATCTTCATTGGCTTTTTTGGCTCAAGCACCCTTGGAAATCCAAGGGAGAAGTAGAGTTTCCTGGGTCTGGGTTGAAGCGCACTTCTTTGAGCCTCGTAGCCATGGGACGGGCAACGCTGCTGAGACATGCGTCACTCTTGTCTTGCAACGAGATATCCTTCGAAGACAAGCTGGCACAATTGCGGAAGGAGCTGGTGGAGAGGTACTTGAACAAGTATGGCTTTCCAAGCATCAACGAGCCACGAGAGGTTGCAGAGGGCAGCCGGGTTCGGATGGAACCTCTTTGTGCTATCCATTTGGCAGCCATGAAAGGTGACCCTGGTCTCTTGAAGCTGCTGCTAGTGGAGGGTGCTGATCCAGACGAAACCTTCCAAGGTTACAATGCTCTGGACATCGCAGAAGCTGAAAATCAGAATGGATCGCACCATGACGTCATTGAGGTCCTCAAAGATGCTCTCAGGGTAAGGACCCTAAGACTCTGAGCACTGAGGCTACCGACGTCTTCGCATTTTCCTCCTGCATTTTGGCGAATGGGGTTAAGGTTTCAATTCATGGAGTCAATGGTAGAGCGGCGTTCGTAAGGACGGATGCCGTTTGCCTCCAAATTCTGGAAACAGGGAAGCCACAGGGAAGTGTTGCTTGAACCATTCCTGCATCCCATACTCACAGGAGCTCCCATGCATCGTAAGGACGATACATCCAAGTGACTGACACAGGCTGTGCAGCAGAGTGTTGGACATGTTGGAGCAGGTCTCCAACTTCACTTTTTGGGTCATTCGTAAGGACGGATGTCTCCAACTTCATGCTTTTCCCCATTTGCATTTAAAATGTGGATGGCCTCTGCAGATAGATGCAAACAATGCCTCAAGTCTCTGCGCACAAAAACCGTGTTTGGCTTGAAGATGCTTGAAGTATGGTTGATTCAAGTAATGACAAAGTCACTTTGACTACAACTACCCCATGATTTTGCATGATTTTGCGGTAGCCTTCCCAGCTCTCCAATTGACAAGGGACAAGAGTCTGTGACAGCGCCAGGCCTTTGCGTCGTGGAGAGTACAAGGGGAAGCGCCCAGGTTCCCAGTTGTCAAGGGGTCAACCCCCTGGGCTGTCGCGCCAAAATAGCTCCTTGTGCCTTATACATCTTATATGACTTATATAATATATAATATACTATATATATAATATATATATATATATTATAATGTAATTTGTTATTATTGTGCATTAACTACCCCTGCCGGGATGGTCCCAATCTTTTTTAAGCAGCTGGAACATCAATTTCAAGGCTTTCGCATCCCGATTTTTCGTTCTGTTGGGCGGCCATGAGGATGGAAGCTTTGGCTCTGAGTGTGCGATCCAAGTGCCAAAGATTGGCTGCACAAGGCATCGTATGCGGCACCATTGGCTAGTCATTACATGCTATCCCGTGTTACCCCATAATCATAATCTGGCAACATTTGGCACAAGAATGCATGAGAATGCAGATGATATAGCGATGGAGATATTCACCAATACCATCCAATACCAACATTAAGCGCCATAAGGTTTGGCAGTTCTAGCACCTTTTAAGATGAACAGCTCCGGTGGTTCGCTGATGATCTCCAGGTCTCAGCAACATTGCGTGGAGTTTTGCGACTTCAGCACATTTTGATCAGACCCTGTCAGGGGACCTCAGGGAACCTCAGGGGACCTCAGGGGAGTGAGAAGCATCATGAAAGCCTTGGATCCTCGGCTTCCAGGATGATAGGTGAGGATGGTCAGTGATTTGCTCAACCCCGCTGGATATGCTGCTCAACATTTAGATGTGGCTTTCTTCCTGAGGTTTGAAGCAATCGCAGCTGCAGCTGCGGCACGTCCCCTTGGGGAATCCAACTCACCCTGCATTTCTGTGAATTGTGAGTTGGGCAGATGAAATCAGATGAAGACAACAAATCGTGACACAAAGATCTCATAGCTTTAAATGTCCAGGTATGCCAGAGCTCAGCTTCCAAAATCTATCGAACATCGGCCATGGCCCGAGCTACCTTTGTCAAGGTCTGTAGTTCAAGGTGTCTTTGCTCATATTTATTGTCACAGGAACACTGGATATTGAGAAGTGGTTACAGATCTTCTTTATGACACAGCATAGAGAAGCAATTGCATTCAATTTTCAAGCAATTGCGGTAATACCAGACATCAAAAAACAGAGATGAACACTATCCACAGATATCCGCAGTTTTGTGCCCAAGACGTAGCACTCAGTGTAGGATGACTGGGTACGGCCCTGATGTCAGCGGCATCAATGGCAGCTTGGACTTCCGTGTGGCCCACGGAAACAGCTGGGCTGGGGGCGGTGGTCAGAAACGTGCCCAGCCGGTGACTTGGCATGAGATCCAATGGGCAAACAATGGCAAACATATAGCAACCCCCAAAAAGAATCAAACATATAGAAAGTCAAATCCCACAAAAATGATGGTTCTTTTTACAGTTTTAGGGGTTACTGTACATTAATATTGATGATTGATGATTCTGGTAAAGCAGGCCGAACGCATTCCCGTGCCAGGCTGTCATGCTGAAAGGGATGCGCACTATACTTACTGTTTAAGCATGTTTAAGCTATATGACAGCTATATGTGATGTTTTGCTTGTCTCTCTGCTGATATTTCAGGTCTTCATTTTAGTGAAAGATGCTGGCTCCGGCGATGCGGACGGAGTGTACAAGCCAGCCAGTCGACGGTGGTTGGATCATGATGTTTATGAGAATCGATTTGGTGAATGCATCATTTCAAGGGAAGCGCACAACTCCAAGACCGGTCAGGCGAAGCATGGCTTTGTCCTTGGGCGGGGTGGGCGCCCTCTTTATGGAGTGAAGACTGAGAAACTGGAAGTGCCCACTGCTGGATGGAAAGCTTTTGAAGGGCAAGAGCCCATTCCAGAACTTTTGAAATTCGCCTCATGGTCAGATTGTTGCCAGCATGGCTCCTGGTACTTCCTCCAAGAGGCGGAGAATGCTGCGAAGGGCGGTCACTGGAAAGTGGTTCTGGTGATGGCAGACAGGGCTTTTGACTGCCACACACAGGCTCGGCCTAAGGGTCGAGGAGACATTCGAGAAGGTGGCTCTGAATGGTCTTCACAACTTTGCGACCTTTTAGGTACGAGAGCAGAAGCCTTACTCAACCTTGGCCAATTTAAGCGTGCTTTGATCGACGCTTGCGCTGCAGTTCACTTTGTGCCAGCCTTCGAGTTCAGCAAGGCCAGAACTCGAGGTGTCACAGCATGCTTGAACCTGGGCGTTTCGGAAGCTCAAGCAAAGCTGTTGATGGAGGAAATGTGCAAACGAAGTGACCGGGACTTCCCCGGCATCCAAGCTCTTGAGCCTTTGGTGGACTCCTTTCTGGACCGTGCCAAGGCGGACAAATTGAAACCCGTGACACTCATCGAGGAAGATCATGACGATGAACGTATCTTCTTTCGGGTGGTGGACCCAGAGGACTGCAAGCTTTATTCATCAACCACCTACAACAGCAAGGTCATTGGTAGCCGAGAATATGGTGATCTTGTCAGGGGCCAGTCCTTACAGAAGGCCGGGACCTGGTTGGAACTTCACGTCTCGGAAGCTTTTGACGATTCTTCGGGACATCGCAGGGCATATGTGCCGCTCTTCACGGATGATCCAGAGGAGGACCGGGAAGAAGTCTTGGAAAAGGTGCCGGTGAAGGAATATCCCCGCCCTGGGCGCTGGGAGACGATGCACCTGAGGATCAAACCCATTGGCTTGAAGCCACCTGCAGATTCCGAGGTGCCCTTGGATTATGGCAGGTGGCTGGATGCAGATCCTCCCGAGAATTTGAAGGTTTGGCCATATATTTACAAGCATGGCCTGGCCGTAGCCTGTATGTTGCAGGGTGTTTCTGAAGAAGTGGTTGATAGCTTTGTTCGATACCACTGGGTCACTGGCTGGAATCACGTCTTCCTGTTTTTTGATGACCCAGATGACCCAAGCATCCGCCATGCCAAGTCCTTGGAAGACTATGCTCAAAGTAAGAAGATGGCAGGTGCAGGTCTGTCAGTTCATCGGATGGATGCGAGCTGGTGGGAAGCTGCCAAGGCTAGAAGCCGGTTCTACCAGAGACAGGATGCTTGTATGAACTTCTGACATCTTCTGACCATCTGCTGCCCTCTAAAGTATTTCTAGAAAAATAAGGGGTGAACAACAGTGAAAGGCCACCAATTCTATGGATAGCTTGAGGATGCTTGAGGGTTGCGGTCATATATTTTCCGGTATTCTGACACCTAAAGATCAAGCCTGGTATCATAATAGTCTCGACCACCAGCTCACGTTTTCTGGTCCGTGGGAATTCTGACATCAGATTCGGAATATCACATGTGGCCTGGACATGATTGTGATGGATTGTTTGCGTCGGGAGGCTTTGCCGGGTTTGCGAGTCTTTGTTCAACTTTGTTCCCAGTAGATCCAAATGATTCCACATGTCATGATGTGAATCATTGTGACCTATCCATCAGCTTATTTTAATGTATTCTGCTGATGCTTGCCCGAGTCAGGAAAAGAACGATTTCTACGAGGGAGTTTGCAAGAAGCAGCCAGCAGATCGCTCAGCTCGTAAGCTGATCGTCGCTGATTTGGCTATCCTGGAAGCCCATGAAATGGGCATCGACTGGTTTGCTTTTCTAGTTTCCTGACTGCAGCAAGAGCGTTTCCTTTCCAGGCTGTTTAGGAAATTAGGCCAATGTCATACCATCATCCCATGATTCCAGTTGTGATCTTTTGGTTCACCCGGATTCTGCCTTGGTCGCACAAGTTTTACCGACACATTTGGGCTAGTCCCCCCCAAAAAAAGGTAAACGGTAAACCCCAAAAAAGTTGCAAGTTTATTGGGAAATGAATGAGTATATGATGAGATTATGGGGACCCCATGACAGCATGTGGGTGTATCGGAAAATGAGGGGCAAATTCATAAAAATATATGGTGATCGATCTAAAGGTCCTTGTAAGGAGTTTTAATTGCGAAAGCCGTGCATGTTATGTTGGAAACCCTCGCGAAAGTTTTTTTTCGAGTTTGCGAAAGTAAAATTTTATTTCGCGAAAGTTTCGCGAAAGTTGGGTATTAAAATCATTATATGTAAAGGGCTGCCACCCACTGCCGCCCGGGGTCCGGCAGGAGAAGGGCACCAGAGAATGCGAGTAGCAGTAGCCAAGTTCCCAAGAGTGAGGCTTTGCGAGAGCCAAACACCAAGGCCCCTGGTCTTCGCTTTTCCTTCAGTGCACCCCCTGCTGATGGCCGGGGTCTGTGAATAGGGATATTTTCGCGAAAGTTCCGCAAAAGTTATGCGAAAGAGCGGGCGAAAGTCAAAGTGCATGTTGAAGGGGGTGGGCCAGTAAACTTTGCAAAAAAATCTGTCCTGAGAAGGGATTCCGTGATGCTAGCTGCATGTTTAAAAGCCAACCAAGAAGTGATCCGTGATTCTCTGGCGTAATTTGGCAGGTGGTGAACGAATCTTCATAAGAGGTGTTGTTGGCCAACATGGGCCCCGCGAAAGATAAACATGGAGTTCGCGAAAGTATCGCGAAAGTAAAATTTTTATTCGCGAAGAATGGCCGTTCCGGGATAAAGGAATTTTGATCAACAACCATATATGTTCCCACCTGTTCCTCATCATCCTCAGACCCAGATATCACAAATCCCCATGATATGCAACCCCCCATAAATTCTCAGAGTTCTTGGAGGTACCACACCCATTTGCAGCCAGGACATTGATGAATGCATCTTCGTCCCAAGGATGCAAGACTGCAGTAGCCGGCGCTTTTTTGGCTCCAAGGAGCGGTCGGTGGAAGCCGTGAGGCTTTGGAATCATGAAGCGGTGCCAGAAGCTGCCAAGCTCAAGAG